AGCTAGAGGACTTTGCTTGTACCTGTTCAAAATGCGCATATGCTTACAAGCTTCCGGTATGCACAACACCGCAGTCTTGGCCCACGCCAGAATCCCCATGGTTACGGATTCATGTGGATTTTGTGGGACAGGTTGAAGGAGTTTCGTTCCTTATAGTTGTGGACGCCTATAGCAAGTGGCCGGAAGTAACCATGATGCAGAACACGTCAGTAACCAGGACATTACACCCATTAAGAAGCATTTTCAACCAGCGTTGTCTACCAGAAACCATGGTATCGGATACCGGGCCGCAATTCACCTCTCATCAGTTTTCTAAGTTTTGAGCACGCAATGGAATCGAACACCTGAGGACTACACCATATCACCTGCAATCTAATGGACAGGACGAGCGGTTTGCCGATATCAGGAAACGAACGTCGTTGCGATCAAAAGGGGAAGGGTCGCTAGAAGAAAGGCTAGAGATATTCTTACTGAAGTATCGAGTTGCTCCGAATCCAAATGCGCCAGATGGGAAGCCGCCTGCGTAAACACTTATGGGCCGAAGTGTAAGAACAACTTTGGACTTACTGACCGCAAAACGCCAACCAACGAGTCGTACGAATCCCGTAATGGAAACCGAGTACAGTAGGCGGCATGGAGCGCAGCGCAGGGATTTCGAAGTCTGAGTCCAGGTGTTTGTCCTCGCTCAGCAGAAGAACATGGTCAACTGGATATCTAGTGTCGTTGCATGGCGCCATGGTCGGGTGATGTATGAGATCCGTGTCGTTACGCAGATGTGGATCCGCCATGCCAATCAAATGAGGCCGCCCTACATGGAGAAGCCAGTGACATCTTACGCCAACGAACTTGATTTTACTGAAATACTGGACAATGGCAAGCCGATGGATTTCGCCGGACAATGCACACTACCTTTGAAAAATCCGGAAAATGGAACACAAGGGAGGTCAAAAAGGAGAAGACTATTTGTTCAGACATTCCGAGTGAACTCACGAAGGAAAAGCTACACTCGCCCCAGGTAAACGCATTTCTTTAAGACGAGAGTGTGTTAGGAGGTTAAGAAGTGGATATAGATTTCTTGTTATAATTCTTGGTTACCGATTGGTTCCTTTCAGATATCGCTGGTAGTGACATGGTTTAAACACGTCGTTCCGCTACTTGTATTGGCTGCTTATGGTCACTGATTTTGCCTCGGATCGCAATGCCATTTGGCTGATAACACTTTCCTTTTTCGTTCGTGCGCGCCTCTTATTGCTTCCGTTGTTGAGCACTATTCATTGGCTTCATTTTGCTTGCATGATTTTAGCAACATGGTTAGCTGAAATGTCTTTTAGTAGCTTCCCTTCTTAAAACTATTCAAACAGACATGATTCAAAACACACTATTTTTCCTGGCACATCTTTGGAGTTCTGCTTGCGGTCGTGGGGTGAAGGCGTCAGCTGCGACACAACAATTAGCAAAGAAAGGGGATTAGAACGACTGGACGATATTCAGACCGCATTTTGCTCGCGTGAATGCGTGACTGTGCAAGCAGTGGGCGATTGTGCCATCCCCCCTTTTGATTATTGGCGTTGTACAACTTAAGCAAAGTTGGTGACCCGATTCCCCTTCCCTCAGTAAGGATCCGCATATCTTATCTGGGTGTGTGGGCCAATCTATGCAGCTACAGTACTATTCAAACCGTGTAGGTTATCGTGTGTCCACCGAACCAAGTTAAGCGTTATTGGCCCAATCATCATCATCATTATACACGTTAGCTAGAGATGGGAAACACCTCAGCTACTGTGCCGTAATACATAGAATAAAAATGGAGAACAAATGCAACAGGTGCAAACCAGCTGAGCTACCGGTAGCGGATGGGCACCGTTCTGGTAGGCTACTAGCCGGCTAATATGCAGCCAAAATATTAGTATACAAAATTATATAAGGCTAAATAGTAAGATCATGGTTGGAGAGGGAGGCTAATAGGGATGGAGTGGGACCAAGAAACTCACAGTACGAACGCCACTGAGGTCGGCTCCTAGCCATATCAGTAAGTGTGTCCAACCGAACGTGTTCATCGTCTTTCGGACCCCAACTAGGGAGCCGAGAAGCTCCGACCGAGGCCAGCTTTGAAGTGAGGGTCTTCATTCTTCTTGACCAAGTCATCGCTTGGCCACCCCTCCTCTTCTTCCATCCACAGCCCCGGTGCGCAAACAACGCACGTCGTGGAAGTCGGTGGGCTGGCATGCGTAACACGTGGCAGAATCATCGGAGCCTGGTGCGTAAAATAATGGAGCTGAGCGGTTCATTTTTTCTTTTCCAGTGCCGTAAACAAGACGTCGAACACCCTCGTTGCTTACTCAGTGTTCCCAACAGATGTGGGCTATATTGCGAAGGCCCAATACTGAAGTTTGTTAACAAGGAACAGGGGAGCAATGGTGCATTACGGTTAAAAATGCAATGCTTAACAAGTCCAGTGCATGTAAGGCGACTAAAAATGTGCAGACCACCTTTTGCTCATGCAAATACAATCGCACTGCGTAACCAGTGGACGATTGTTATTTGTTGCTCATTTTGACGTTTCATGTAGCACAAGGCTAATAAAGCAGTGCTGGCTTCGGTAAAATGATGATAGCTTACAAAGATCCAATAATTGAGCAGCTGCGTAGGTCCGTCCACACACCCACAGGAAATACGAGAATGCTGGGTCGCCGGCTTTGTTCGTGGTGAACGATGCCCATGATCAAGCAGAGGGATTGCACAGTAGCCTGCTGTTTATGCAGTTGCCTTGTATTCGTGCAAACGTAATGTTACTGGCATATCGTACAGTCCCCCTATTCTCCTGGCTTTGATAACAAGCTACAGAAGTAAACCAATGTAGCTGGACTGGCTTAGGTGGATCCATAATAGACAGCAGTTTTCCAGCGATTTTACTGTATATGTTCGTCCACACACCCAGATAAGATACGAAGAGGCTTATAGAGGGACACCAGCTTTGACGGAGGTGAACAACGCCAATGATCGAGAGGAGTGATAACAAAATCGCTCATTGCTTGCACAGAGTCACGTTGCGTTCACGCGAGCGCAATGTTGGTCTGAACATGGTCCAGTCGTTTTTATCCCCTTTGTTTGATAACGACTTGCAGCAGCAGTAGGCCAATAGAGCTATGCTCGATTCGGTAGGAGTCGTGATAGCCTGCACTGATCCAATAATCGAGCAACTGGATAGGTTGTCACACACAAAGTACGCAAAGGCCCATAGAGCGATAGACGACAGCTGGATCGCCGCCTATCTGCTTCATCAGTTACGGTCCAAGTGATCGTATTGGCCAAAGTTTAATTCAGTGGGAATCGCGGTCCACATTGAGATGGAGCATCGTACTACATCTTCAAAGCGAGTGCTTCACAACTACCATCTAATACTAGGTAGCATTTGTTTAACAATACGCGATTGAGGAGTCCGACTTACCATTATTCACATAACCGTACAGGTTCATGTGTAAAGTCAGGAGCAAATGGACTAAGAGAAGACAGATGGGGAGATAGGGGGGTAATCAGTCACCACCTTCGATCGAGACGATCGAGTTCACGAGCAAGAGGAGAGTTTGCATTGGCACCCGCTGGTTACACAATTCGGTTGCATTAGTATGACTATATTGTAGTCTAGAACATCATCTAGTCGTCTTACTCCTAATTCCTTGCAGGTGGATTGCTGCTTTTCTGCTTGAATCCAATTTGTCTAAAGTGGTTTGCAAAAATTCCATTTTGTTTCGCAGAATGTCCAAAATGGCTTGCAGGAAGTTAAATTTGTTTTGCAAATCATCCAAATTGGCTTGAATAACGTTCAAAGTGGTTTGCAAAATGTCCAATATGGTTTGCTAAACGTCAAATTTAAAGTGAAGTGGTATATATTTAGGATGCATCGGGTTTGAAACTACTAGAGTTGCAATTGTGTCGGGAGATTTTTTCCAACTGTCGTAGCGAGTTTGGCTACATGATTGAAGACGTTTCATCACCTTTCTAAAGGACATCATCAGTGCTGCAATGCTGGCACTTTCGTAGCAGGAACTGGTGGAAGGCAAATCCACCCTTGGAGTTACCCTCCATCAGGTCCTGCCACAAAGCTGCCATCACTCCTGTACTGATGATGTCACTTAGAACGGTAATAAAACGCCAGTAATCCAGTTGCCAAACGCGGCGAACACTACGGCAACTGATGCATCGGGTCATAGTCCATCATTGTAATACTTTTGTTTCTGCAAATGTCTCAATGACCCATTTGTAAAATCTTTGTAGTCTAAGGAGAAATGTCAAAGTCAGATTTGAATTCAATATGCTCAAATTAAATAACTAACAATGCCAGTTTTTTGCAACACAAATCATCGCCCTTTGCTATCGTACCATTCAATGAACTGGTTATGCAAGCAGCGGTTTGTACGGGCTTGTTACCGCCGCTGAAGCGAAGAGGGAGTCTGATTGGTCCCAGCGTTCTGAACGACTCTGAAAGAGATCTGAAGCGGTGGTCTCCTAAGAAGAACATTGCACACGGGAAATAGTAACGATAATACACCCACATTTCGCACTAGCACATCAAAGCCACGCAGCCGCACGTGAGCCGGGAGGGCGAAAAGTCAACCGGAGCCACGTAGAAATGGGAACTCGAACCAGGTTTGTAGAGTTGCAAGTCAAACTCTTGAGCCATCGCAATATAGCCTCTGCTATGTCCGACTTGTTAATGATTCCAGCAGGAGATTGATATTTTGAGACATCAGTGCCTTTTATTATCATGGGTTTCTTGTTTCGGAGACAACTTTATGAGCCCAGTAGTGCGGCTGGCTCCATTTAACTGATCCTTTACAGTCCCTTATGCACTAAAGTAATAGTGAGCCAATTTTAGCTGGCTGTTCTTTACCGCAAAAAATTCACAGTAATGATTAATCTGCGACGGCTTCGAATCATTATGCTAGTGGTTTTCAGACATGTGGTAAGGTCAGACAGAAATGTTACGTATATGCACTCACTAAGAGACCACAGCTTCGGAGTTCGTCTACTGTGTCCACAGACTGAAGCAGGCGCTTGATTCTACGCTGTGCCTTCTTTTCCAAAATGATCTAAAACAGAAAATGCCACTTGGCATTCGGCGGAACCGGTAAGTGGGAAACCAACCTCGTACAGTTTGGTGCGGTAATCCGAAACGCTTAAATGTTTATCATCACACAAAGAAGGAGTCACGACGCGATTCATCACCGGTTCGTCTTGTGGGTCGTGAAACCTAAACATGAGAATAAAAGAGATATCGTGAGGACTAAGTACACAACAGTGACGTGGCGCCTGGGTATTGACGATCGTGAAATCGGAAGATGTGAAGATAAAAGTGCAGCCAACTAGCTTAATGATTTTGGGGTAGTGCATGCAATCTGTAACTAATGGATCAACCTTAGAGGACGGTCGTTCTGATAAGCTATACTTTCATCTAGGATGTGAAGCGTACGCCTCACACGTGAAAGGTACGGTACGTTGACACTTTAGCTTGAGCCTCTCTAAACAAAGTGGTGTTGGACAAATAGAGAATCCGAACTCAGCCCTGATAGACATTGCAGAAGAAATGTGTCCGCGACCTGCCTTTTATAGATTAATCGCTTCAAGAATATCAGAGAGGAGGGCAAAAACTACACTGGAATCATCGCTTACTTTTCTACGTAGGTGTGTTCAAGTGCATCCTCTACTGTCAAACGTTTTAGTGGATTGAGCTGGAGCAGTCTTTTTACCATATCAAAGGCGTTAGATGCAACAGTAGCTGGAAAGAGGGATTCCAGAGTGCCGCCACTTCTGTAGCAATTAGGAAGAAGAAGAGCAAGAAACAGTGGGACGAATACGTCAAAACTAGCATGAATACTACGAGAGATTAAGAGCTGACTGCACCTTAATCCTTAGTCATCAGTATATGTTAGCCGACGGCGAGAAACACACCTAATCTAGGGTGCCGTAATACAAAAACGATAAGATACTAAAAACTATACTCCAAAAATTCAACTAGCAGGTAATGCAACGTTAAATATCGAAGTATCCATTTGATATGAGCTCGTAATTGAAGCGGAAATCTAAAGGAGAGGAGATGGACAAAGAAACGCATCCCAAACGCCATTGGAATCAGCTCTTCATCATATCAACCAACCAACCAAACAAACATGTGCTGCATCCTTCGGATCCCAGTCCGGCAGTCGGCATGCACCAATCAACGCTTAGTCTGAAGTGACGGTTTTCCTTCTTCTAGACCAAGTTATTGCTTGACTTTCCCTCCCTTTCTTCCATGCAGACGCCGGACGCACATACAACGCACGTCACGGGAGTCGGTGGGCTGGCATGCGCAACAAGTGGCCCAGTCATCGGAGCCTGGTGCGTGATATAATGGTGCTGAGCAATTCACTCGCTCTTCCTGCACCAAATATGCGACGCGGAACACTTTCATTGTTCACACGGTGCTCCCACCGGACATGAGAGAAGCTGCGAAGGTAACGATGGTCGAACGGCGTCAGAATCTTAATATCTGTCAACTTGATGGGCCAAGTTTCACGACTATATAGGAGAGTTGAATGGAAGGTTACATAGTAAAATTCGCTTCATGGCAAGAGTGATCTCGCGTCGGCGTAACAAACGGCAGAGATTGGCAAAAGTATCTCGAGTTTTGTTATAATGTTCGTGACCTCAACTCCCATCCCACAAACACTATAGCATTCCCGCAAAGTTGCATCAAAGGTCCAAACCTTTGCAAAGAAGGAGCACAATTTTGCAAAGAAAGTTCAAAATGTATCAAAACCCTGTGCGATTCGCCAGCCGCTCAGAGCCAATCCTGTGACCTTAAATGTGTTCTCATTGGCCGGATGCCAAGGTTCGGCGCATTAGTCAGGGGAGATGAGGGCGCTGCCCGTTGACTGGGTGAGACATGTGAATGAACATTAGGGGCATGCACTTCGACGGTGCAGCGGGCTTGTATGTGCCCCCTCACGTCCGAAACGATGGATCACAATTGGTCTGAGCGCAATGAACAGCTGGAACATAAGCGCACGACCGAAACCATGTCTATGATACTAACGTCGTCGGTATGCCTTCTCGCGTTCGCCAGAGTATCTCATCAGACATTCGTGACCGAGATTTGAGCTCTTTCGTCAACGGTGATGACTGGCAGCTGGTGGCAACTGTGAACAACGTCAAATATCAAACAGCCTACTCCTAGATCCGTCGTTCCCTTGATCAGGAGCCGAGTACTACGCAGGCGCGCGGTCGTAAGCGGATTTTGTCGGTGGAAGACGTAGATGACATCATGGATTGGATCGCAAGGGACTCAACGCTTACGCTACGGATTTTGCGAGTACGAGTACGAGCAGAAATGGACGAGGAAATTTCGAAGTCAACAATCGCATGGCAACTAGATGGTCGATTGAGAACTATGGAGAACATCTGTCAGGTTCCCGAGGGAATGAACAATGAGCAAACCAAAGGGATACGCAGGGAATTCGTTCAGCAGTTTCTCCGACTTGAGAACGATGGCAAGTTCTTCATTTGGATTGACGAAGCGAACTTCAATGTTTACTGCAAACGTACTCGTGGTCGGGCACCCAGAGGAATGAGGGCCTGTTGCAAAGTTGCCAACAGCAGAGGCCACAATTTGCGTTTAATCGGTGCACTCACGATGAAAGGGAAATTGTCGATGACCACCTGGAGAGGCTCATTCACAAGTCGCCTCTCTCTAGAATGGCTGCGAAGCTATTTAGACAACCTGAAACAGGAGATGGAGCTCCGGCAGGTGGTCGTGATATGTGATAATGCACCATGTCACACAGGACTGGAAGAACTGTCGTCAGTAGATGGATACCATGGAGTAACCATACTGAGATTGAGCCCATACTCTCCGTTCCTCAATCCGATCGAGAATGTTTGGCAGGTGGTGAAGGCCAGAGTGAAGAATGAGATGAGAATGCACTACAAGGAACTTCTGGCCGGGGATCCCCAGAAACTCATGACGCAGATAGAATGAAGGTTGTAGTTCCTTGAACGCATTGCCAGAGCAGCCACCAAGGATATCAACGTTGTGGAATGTCGTAATGCTATTCCACATATGCGTGTACATTTTCCTAATTGTCTAGAAAAAATTACATGTTTTGATCACGTTGCTGGCCTACTTTTTACGTATCTGGTTGTATAGCACGTCACTGGCGGTGCGTAGGGACGTGTGAGTATTCACAGTGTTTTCAAAATATGTTTGCACATACGTACGTTTGTGTGTTCGTTCGGGGGTTGAAGCGATATATGATGTCTAGCGCAAGGGAGTGACGCGGGACTGGCTTCCAATGAGCCATGCCCGAGTGATATGTTCGACTTATGGTCCTTTTCGTGCTGGTACTCGCTGCGCCGCACTCTTACATGATCAGCCTGAGATAATGTAGATAAAGTTTCTTCGTTGGAAAAACTAGGATGTTTGGAAAGCGCTTTGTAGGACCAAGTGAGCTTGCCGGGTGAAGCAAACGTCAGATATATCACAGTATGGGATATCAGTGTGGATAGTTGAATAGTAGTGAATAAGAAATTACTGCGCACGTCATGTCAGGCTTTTCCAAGAGTGAGAGGAACTGATAGATGCGAGTTCGCAAACACGTCCATTGCCAGGCAAGATGTCGTCACTGAAGCTGAACGAATGAATCGCGTGTTTAATAGAAACCGTCTCTGTGCGATGTTTGTCCGCTGTATTGGAGTGCACTGGCGCGTTAATTCGTTACCCGATTGGAAGTTGGTCTGTCAAGTTCGGAACCCCCATCAACCGGTTCGGAAGCTGTACTTTAGATTTAAAAGCAACCATTCCTACAGCAAGCCCAATTTAATTTGCGTGCCAGAAAGACCCGAATAGCTGTCCAGTACGACTTGGATACTGCCTTGATTGTTCGGATGATCCCTCGTTTGACACAATAGCTGCGTAAACAAATGGGGGTATAGTTGGCGTGGATACAGTGGCGTAGCAACTACTTTTGCTGTCCGTGGCGGACGTACAATTGATGCCGCTCTTGTAGTTGTGAAGCCCGCAATTGAAATTGCCATTCAATATTTCGTTTCACATAACAACAATCACAGAGTTAACTTTAGCGTGCTGTCTTGAATGCAGCTATTTGAATTGTTAACATACTCATGTTCAAAATGTACAGGCACACTTTTCGTGCACTACTTGAAGACGCTGGCATCCGAGCTGAATAAGCGCTCATCGAACGCAGTTGAACATTGATGGTCAAAAATCCGGCAGACGTTGTTAGCAGCGGGTATGTCTTAATGTGACAAATCAAATCGCCAACCTGGACATTGGGTCAGTACGCAGTCTCAGGAACTTATAGATGCTTGCCAACGTGTTCCCGCTGATAGCGAACACAAGGAGACTCGCAAAGATTTCAGGGCGAAACTGGTTGCTAACCTGAAAAGAGACCAGGAAGCCTGGTGGCCGAGTGGTCTGCATACCTGGCTTGCAATCATAATGTCACTGGTTCGAATCTATTTTCCTGACCTGCTTTGTCATCCTGCATGTCTTCTCGGTGCTCACCCAGTGTCTAAAACCCCCGTCCGTCAAAAAAGTGGACTATCCCGTTGACTAAGTGTTACACTGAGCCAATACCGTGGACAGGATGATCAAGTGTCACGATAACTGATCAGCGCATGAATTCTGATGCCATTTGTCACAAACGTCATTGCCTGTCGTGCAAGTGCGAAATACTGCCAAGCAGTCGAATTATGTACGACACATATATCTCTCAACACGACTTGGGAGGGCGAGAATCCGTTACTTCAACTTTTATACCGCTTATCGAAATGATTCTGCGTTGTTAAACATGGTACTGACAGAACATCAGATACAGACAATTGAAATTTTAAAGTCATTACTACCATCTATCTGAGCTCAGGAAATGTAGCTTGCGAAACCGCAAATTTCTCACAATTAGCGTTTTCAAACAGCAGCCGTGCGAACCACAGAACGCTATAAGCTATCCACTCTGAAGATATCTTCGATGCACAAGGATACGTAAATAATACTAATGCCGTTCACATTCACTATGTGTGTATTCCCCAGCTCGCACCCTTGATCCTTGGGTTCACTGTGGAAATATTGTTGCATTTACACCAATACCGACAATGGTCTACACTACACACAGGACGCAGTCTCCATCAGCGATGTGTGCAGTTTTGTCCTTAGTTCGGTTGCAACATTTGACCGTAGTTTAACCCGGCCAGTGAATGTGTTACTCTGGTCTGGTTCAATGTCGTTCACTTTACTTCGGGTCGGGCCCCATTTCATTTACCTTGTCCAACCTTCCCTTGAAACTCTCTCTAATCAGCGTTGCTCATTGCGATCTGCATGATTGCACTTGTCAACAGACGGAGTGGAGGGACATACATGGGCGTCGCACATAGAAGGTGCCACATATTACAAACCGGAATGTCCTAGAGGCCAACGGTATGTGAGCGATGTGACTCGCCGGGCTAAATTAAGTTCAAATGTTGCAGCCGCAATAATGATGTTGATCGAAGTAACTTTCCAGGTTGTAGAGAAATCCCCCCACGTTAAGCCAGTCCAGACTAACACTCAGTCAACTTGTCCACCGCTGGCTGGGTTAAACTACGGTCAAATGTTGCAACCGAACTAAGGACAAAACTGCACACATCGCTGATGGAGACTGCGTCCTGTGTGTAGTGTAGACCATTGTCGGTATTGGTGTAAATGCAACAATATTTCCACAGTGAACCCAAGGATCAAGGGTGCGAGCTAGGGAATACACCACATAGTGAATGTGAAC